AAATAAATTAATGCTGAACTATAAAATAACTGAACAGGAGGTAGAAGGTGCCATTCAGAATATGCAACTAGGTAAATCTCCAGGACCGGATGGACTGACTTCTAGATACTACAGATCCTTGAAGGAATGGCTAGTACAACCTTTAAAGGAAGTCTGTAACGAAATAATGGGTGGGAAAAGGGCACCAGAGTCGTGGAAAGAAGCGTATATTACACTTGTACCGAAAATAGAGACTGAAAAGACACAGCTTAAGAACTACCGTCCCATATCACTGCTCAATGTGGATTACAAAATCTTCACAGACATTTTGGCTAAAAGACTAAAAAGAGTCCTAATGGAAGAGATACATAAAGATCAAGCAGGCTTTCTCCCGGGTAGACATTTGTCTGACAATGTGAGAAACATAATCAATATTTTAGAAAAACTACAAGTGAATATAAATACCAAGGCAGTTTTGATATTTGTGGACGCGGAGAAAGCCTTTGACAATATTTCTTGGAGTTTCATGAAGAAGAACCTACAGGGGATGGGGGTAGGCCAAGGCTTTGAAAACGGTATAAGTGCAATTTATTCAGAACAAAAGGCTAAATTAATTGTAAATAACGTGGTGACGGAGGAATTTAAGATAGAAAAAGGGACACGACAAGGTTGCCCAATCTCCCCATTGCTATTTATATCGGTCCTGGAGGTCCTGCTGAATATGATTAGAAGGGACCAATTGGTTAAAGGTATACAAGTCGGAGCTAAACAGTACAAATTGAGAGCATTTGCAGATGACTTAGTATTGACATTGCAGGAGCCAGAATCTAGTACTAAAAGGGTTTTGGAACTGATTCAAGAATTTGGTCAGGTTGCAGGATTTAAATTGAATAAGTTAAAAACAAAGGTCTTAGAGAAAAACTTAACTGTGATTGAGAAAGAGAGGTTTCAGAATGAGACAGGTTTAACAGTGGTTAAGAAAGTGAAATACCTGGGGATTAACATGACAGCAAAAATGGGAATCTATTTAAAGACAATTATGAAAAATGCTGGGCTGAAGTGAAAAAAGACTTAGAAATTTGGTCAAATTTGAAGCTTTCACTGCTAGGCCGTATTGCTGCGATAAAAATGAATGTATTGCCTAGAATGTTATTTCTCTTTCAAACATTGCAAATTTTGGACAAAATGGATTGCTTCAAGAGGTGGCAGAGAGATATCTCTAGATTTGTCTGGCAGGGCAAGAAGCCTAGAATAAAATTTAAAATACTAACGGATGCAAAGGAAAGAGGTGGATTTGCCCTGCCAGACCTTAAACTTTATTATGAATCAGCAGCTTTTTGCTGGCTGAAAGAATGGCTGCTTCTTGAAAACACAGACATTTTGGACTTAGAAGGTTTTGACAATGTATTTGGATGGCATGCATATTTGTGGTATGATAAGGTCAAAGCACATAAAGCATTTAAAAATCATATTGTCAGGAAAGCATTGTTTAATGTCTGGATAAGATATAAAGACTTACTGGAAAATAAAACCCCAAGGTGGCTGTCACCGATGGAAGCGAAAGCTCTGAAAAAGCTCAATATGGAGGCCAAATGGCCGAAATATTGGGAAATTCTGGAACAAGAGGGAGACAGATTGAAACTGCAGAGTTTTGAAAAACTAAAAAATAAAGTGCGAGATTGGCTTCATTATTACCAAATAATGGAGGCGTATAATTTGGACGAGAAAATTGGCTTCCAGGTGGAAAAATCAAAATTAGAAACAGAACTGTTAGAACCCAAAACGAAGATTTTGTCAAAGATGTATAACTTGCTGTTGAAATGGAATACCCAGGATGAAACGGTTAAATCTGCTATGATTAAGTGGGCACAAGATGTTGGACATAACATAATGATGGCTGACTGGGAACAGTTATGGACTACAGGTATGAAGTTTACGGCATGCAATGCCTTAAGAGAGAATATTATGAAAATGATATACAGGTGGTACATGACACCAGTCAAGCTTGCAAAAATCTATCATTTGCCCGATAATAAATGTTGGAAATGTAAAGAAACTGAAGGTACATTCTTTCACCTTTGGTGGACATGCCCAAGGATTAAGGCTTTCTGGGAGATGATTTATAATGAAATGAAAAGGGTATTTAAATATACCTTCTTGAAGAAACCAGAGGCCTTTCTCCTGGGCATGGTCGGCCAAACGGTACCAAAGAAGGACAGAACTTTCTTTATGTATGCCACAACAGCAGCAAGAATACTTATTGCAAAGTATTGGAAGACACAAGATTTACCCACTCTGGAAGAATGGCAGATGAAGGTGATGGACTATATGGAACTGGCTGAAATGACTGGCAGAATCCGAGACCAGGGAGAAGAGTCGGTGGAAGAAGATTGGAAGAAATTTAAAGACTATTTACAGAAATATTGCAAAATTAATGAATGTTAGAATGATGTCAGAATGAAATTAAGTGGTCTTAGCAACAATGTTATAAAGGTGTATGTACAAATGGATTGTTAACAGATGAGAATCTAAAGTTATAATATGTTAAGTTAAAGGATTAAGATAAAAACAAAGAGGAAAGGAATTGCTGAATTAACTAATAGAACTGGAATATAAAAAAGGGAGGTGTGAGGAAGTCAGGGAAGTAAGGAAATGAAATGTAAGTTATGGAAAGATCGATGTGTTTTTCTTTTAAGTGTTTTTTATCTTTTTTCTGTATTTTGTATTTTGTATTTTTTTTCTTTTTTCTTTTTTTCTTTTTCTTTTCTTTTTTACTTATGTAATTTTTTCTTTGAAACTTTAATAAATATCATTTTTAAAAAAAACATAAACTTGGAGGGCAAAAGGTTCCCCATCCCTGCTCCAAGGTCACAGGTTGGAGGTCTTTCCCATCTCCTGCTTCCCGATCCTTTTAAGCAGATGGTATTGTGGTGGTGAGGATGGAAAACTGGAGAGAGAGGCAATGGGGTATCCTGGAACAGGGCACTGCTGGCTGGCTGGCAAAACAGAAGCATTCTGCCCTGGAACGTTATGATTCAGGTCCCAGCATTCATTTTATCTCTCTGAAGTTCTCTTATACAAGGGCATGGTGCGGGGGTGGTGTGGGAAGACCAGTATTCAATAAAAATTCAGACTGGATTATTGTAACTCACTCTAAGTGGGGCTGCCTTTGAGATTGACCCAGAAACTCCAGCAGGTGCAGAATGCTGTGGCGAGACTCCTTAAGGGGTCCTCGCTGTGGGATCACATTCACCCAGTGCTATACCAGCTGCACTGGCTCCCGGTGGAGTACAGGATCAGGTTTAAGGTGCTGGTTTTAACTTTTAAAGCCCTATACAGCATAGGACCCTCGTACCGACGGGACCGCCTCTCCTGGTATGTCCCATGGAGGACCTTACGGTCTTCAGACAAAAACATCTTGGAGGTCCCAGGCCACAGGGAGGTTAGGCTGGCCTCAGCCAGAGCCAGGGCTTTTTGGGCTGTGGCTCCAGTCTGGTGGAACGCTCTGTCACAAGAGACTAGGGCCCTGCGGGACTTGACATCTTTCCACAGGGCCTGCAAGACAGAGCTGTCCCACCAGGCCTTTGGCCAGGGCACAGCTTGACCCCCTCCTTTGGCAATCCTCACAGAACTCTAGCCCAATGGTTGCCATTAATTTGATTTGAACTGATTTTATAGTGAACTGTTTTTAGAGTGTTGTATTATTTTACTGTTGTTAGCCACTCTGAGCCCGGCTTCAGCTGGGGAGGGCGGGATATATAAAAAAAAGCATTTCAGCGGACAATCCCGTTTCCAAGCAGAGAAAGTGACCAAACAGCATAGTATCTCATCCAACAACCAGCTGCGTGGAACCGCTTTCCGGAAACAAGTATCAAGTATTTCTAGCCTGCAGTCCAGTGGTTGCAAGAACCTAAATCCAAAGAGGGAAAGTCAGGAGAAATCAAAGTGGGGGAAATGGAGAAAAATGCATGAAACCCCAACAAGTGTAGGTTTCACAGTAGAATATCAAAGGAATATTGAAATAGAAGAATATCATATACCGATACTTGGGGTTTTTCATGTTTTGCATTTGCTGACTTATTTTTCAGCCCAGCGAAGCCCTCTGCCCTTAAGCCTCACAATGTACATTTTATTGGGTTTAAAGGAAACAGATTGGGAATCTGGGTCAAGAATATCTCTCTTCTCCCCACCCCACCCCACCCCACCCCACCCGCATAGATGTTATGGTTTAGCTAAAGGAAGCTTTAAGAATGTTTGATGTGCTGCTTATTAAGAGCTATTTAAAGAGATGGGGAAGTGAAAGTACAAAGACAGCTGGCTGGGGGCTTGGTTCAGAAGAGGAGGGCTGGTTTCTGAAACGAAACATTCCTATCAGTAAGCAATGAAATGGTTAGATGCTTGAAGGTGAGCTTGGGGAGCAAGGGAAAGCCACACATGCTTTTTTTGACAAACAAAAGTGGTCCTACAAAACAAAATACTTCTACATGCAGCTTTAAACTATGGAACCTTCTCCCATAGGAGGCAGTGATGGCCACCAACGTGGGTGGCCTGAAAAGTGGAGTATGCAAATGCATGGAGATTAAGCATTTCAATGGCCACTAGGTATAATGGCTCTCCCCTTCTTCCATGGTCAGAGGCAGTAATGCTTCTGAAGACTGCTTGCTGGAAACTGCAGGAGGGGGAGAGTGGTCTTGTGTGGGTTTCTGATAGGCACCTGGTTGGGCACTGTGAGAACAGGATGCTGGACTAGAAGAGCCACTGGCCTGATGCAACAGGGCTCTTCTTATGCTCTCGGGTTAGTAGATTCTGGGGCTCTAGTGAAAAATAAAGTAGATCTAGCAAGTCTGAAGTCTGCTCCCTCCTGAAATGAAAAGGTGATATTGAAAGAGAGATTCTTAGGAGCTTAAATATGAAGCCCAGTGTAGCCCTTCCCCTGCCTAGTGCCCTCAGACTATAACTCCCATCATTCCTGGCCATGGGCCATGCTGGCTGGGGCTGATGGGAGCTGTAGTCCAACAAATGCTGGGATAGCTCAGTGGGTAGAGCAAGAGACTCTTAATCTCAGGGTCATTGGTTCAAGACCCATGTTCCTGTATTGCAGCAGGTTGGACTAGATGGACCTTGTGGTCCCTTCCAACTCTACAATTCTAACATCTGGAAGAGTCCAGGTGCTGAGATAGTGCATAATGTCCAACTCTTGGAGACCCAAAACTGAGACGCACGTCTTCCAGGAGATGCTCCCGGACAAGTCACTTGACCCGTGCCTTGCTCTCACCCTGAAAAAAGTGCTTTCCCTGGGGCAAAATCTCACCATGATCTCACATGAGAAACAGGATGTCCCTTTCCCCTCAGGGCACTTGGCAGGTATGATAGTGTTGGACTAGGCCTAGGGAGATCCAGTTCCAGTCTGCACTGAGCCGTAGAACTCACAGCACAACTTTAGTCAAACCTACCTTACAGGGTTGTTTGGAAAATAAAAGAGGGATGAGGTGAAGAATTGTGTATGCCACCCTGAGATCCTTGAAGGGAGGGTGCAATAAAAAAATAGAATAAAATAAATGAAATTATTCTACTGGAAGCTATTTTATTTTTAAACGTTCCAATCTTTTGGTTAATAAATTCTTTTAATGGTTTTGATTCCCACCTCCCCACCCCCCGCTACCTAAAGCTGATGCACATACACATCCTGACAACTTAAAGCTAAGTATACATTCCTGCAGCCACCATTGTATATACATTTTGTGCAAATTGAGAAAATAACATGGTGTGTGTAATTTCATCAGACCGGAGGGATCAGTCTAAGATTCGCATCTGAAGATTAAATGGTGCAATTACCGTGGCAGACCATCTTTCTGGAATCTCTTCAGTCAAAAGACCAAGCAAACCATAATTGAGGATTCTAGTGGAATATAGATGTAACAAAAATGTTCTCGACCACTGAGATTACATCATCTTTATTTCAAAAGATCCCGTGTTGTTCACTCCCAAAGCCAGAGAAACCACAGCTTGCTTTTTTATGTCATAGAGATCAGTGACATTGTACAGATGAACAAAAACACAAACAAAACACAATTAGGGCTTATAAGGATTAGTATGTATATACATGTGTGCTTACTTGCACACCCAGAAGGAGAAGAAAAAGGCTTAGTGGTTTGAACTTCAGTTTAGACTCTGGAGAGCCACTAGTTCAAGTTGGGAGTAGAGAGAATTCAGCCACTTTCCCTCTGAAGCTGGCGTTTTGGGCTGTGTTTGGGGTCTTCATATAATTACAGATACTTAAGAAGAGCTCTGCTGCAACAAATCAAAGTCCAGGGTCTTGATTCTCACAGTGGTCAAGCACAACCAAGTGCTTATGGGTCCTACCCTCTGGAGCAGCAGAGAATAAGCTTGCTCCATCTTCCACGTGACAGCCCTTGAGATATTTGAAGATGGCTATCATATTGTCAGGGAACTGCCATCAGTGCCGGAGGGAGAGAGCAAAAGCCAGAGGGATTCCAGAGAGCGTCCAGGGATCGGGAGGAGCAGCCCATCTTCTGGGGAAGAGAATCAGCGTAGCACCAGTGGAGAAGGGGGGCAGATGGGGGAAGCGGCGAGGCGGTCCCATGACTCCTTGCCTGGGACCAGCGGGGAGAGTAGGGGTCCTCCGCTACCCACGCCCTCCTTGCGCAGAAGGCTTTCGCGCAGAGAGAGTAGGAGGAGACTAGGCGTCAAAGAGCTTCTTTGCTGGAAGAAGTTTAAGAAACGCCCACTGACGGATTCTGCCAGCGATTGAGTCAGCCACGGGTGAGTGGCTGTCCGGACAGAAAAGGTTCACTTAGGCAACCCAGCCAGGTGTTTGCACCCAGCCGGAGAGATAAGCACCGGCTTACACACAAGCAACCCCTAGAACCACTACACATATCACCTATCTTTTTCTCCAGACTAAACATGCCCAGCTCCTTCAAGCCTTCCTCCTAAGGCTTGGTTTCCAGAACCTAGATCATCTTGGTCACTCTCCTCTGCACGTGGTCCAGCTTGTCAATATCCTTCCTGAAATGTTCCCAGCTAACTAAGGATCACAAAGCCCATGCAATAACATCACGTAGATATATGACATTTCTGCATCTTGCATGTTATTTGTGTGATCATTCCTGAGTGTTATTAATAGTGACTGCAGGAGAGAAATCAGATATACTTCATAACTAGTGGTTAAACAAACACACTTTTGCATTCACACTAGTCTGTTGAGTTCTGGGTTCCTCCTCTGAACCATCTAAAGGAGCTTCTTCCTTCCTGACATTATTTCAGAAGCAGCCAATGTGATGGAGCAAGAGTGGGAAAATACGAACTACAAAGGCAGAAGGACACTTGGTAAACTGTTCTAATTATAAAGAGGGAACACAACATGGGGCAGCCTTTTTGTTGTTGTTGCAGCCCCACGTTCCTTGCACTGTGTAGTGCCACACTAATTCCTACTTGAATATACTGAAATTCACAAAGATGTGATGTGTATGGATTAGATTGTTGATGAGATCACGAGTCTTCTGGACCAATGGTCCTTTCTATGCTGCCTGCACAGTTGGTTGATACTGTTCGCCGGCTCTAATAGCAGTTGTTGGTTAGCTTAACATCTGCTCCATAAAAAAAAAAAGAAACTGGTGGAAAGTAATATTAAAGATAAAATTGCCAAGCGTAGAGAAGAGCAGGTCTTGCTGAAAAAGAATGAGCTTGGTTTCCGAAAAACGTAAGTGCTGTTTAATTAACGAAGTGCTGGTGGTGTTCTCACCCTGGACGTTGGCCTTTGTCATTCTGATGTTGAGGCCGAACTCCTTGCAGGCTTGGGCAAAATGGATGATGAGTTTGCGCAGAGCTTCCTCAGAGTGCACTTTCAAGGTTGCATCATCTGAAAGCATCTCTCAGATAAGGACCCATCACACTTTTGTCTTGGCGTGAGATGTGACAGGTTGAACAGACCTCCATTCCTCCTTGAATAGAAGAAGTACACACCATCTTCAGTAGAGCTGAAAGCATAGGAGAGGGATAAGAATATGCCAAAGAGACTTGGAGCAAGAACACACCCATGTTTCACACTGCTCTTTATCAGGAAGGCATCCAAGGATGAACAATCAGACCGGGCAGCGTGGGGCATGCCCTCATGGAAGGACACAATAATCTTGTGGAGCTTAGGTGGGCATCCTATCTTGCCGAGGGTTGTGAAGTGTAATAATGTCCACCATCTTGGATGGCTTTAAAAGGGGATTAAATTCACACAGGACAAGGCCATCATCAGCTACTCTCCGTAGTATTGGAGGTGGTATACTCTCATAGGGATGGGGGTGCCACTGTGGTCTAAACCACTGAGCCTCTTGGGCTTGCTGATCAGAAGGTTGGCGGTTTGAATCCCTGCAACATGGTGAGCTCCCATTGCTCTGTCTCAGCTCATGCCAACCTAGCAGTTCGAAAGCACACCAGTGCAAGTAGATAAATAGGTACCACTGAGGCGGGAAGGTAAACGGCGTTTCCATGCGCTCTGGTTTCCATTCACAGTGTTCCATTGCACCAGAAGTTGTTTAGTCCTGCTGGCCACATGACCTGAAAAGCTGTCTGTAGATAAACACCAGCTCCCTCGACCTGAAAGTGAGTTGAGCACTGCAACCCCATAGTCGCCTTTGACTGGACTTAACCATCCAGGGGTCCTTTACCTTTTACCTTTTTACTCTCATACCAGTTGCAGGGAAACACGAGTGGTAAAGAGCTATTAGATTCAAGTCCTGATTGTGGTCTCTCCTTGGGCATCTGGTTGGCAACTGTGAGAACAGGATGTGAGAAAAGCTGGATAAATAGAGCAGGGCTCTTGAATTCAGGTTCTGAATGCCGGTGGTTTTCAAGCAGAAACAGCATCACTGAGAAACAAGTGGGAGGTTTGCAGAAGTACAAAAAACTTTAAAAAAACAAAAAACCCCAGACCTGTGTTCAAAACTACAAAAACCAGCCTAAGGATGACTGAGTGTGCTCAGGAGCCATTGGCTGTCACTTTGGAACCAACCCACTCCCAAAAACCATGGAGTTGGGAACTGCAAAACAAACAAACAAACAAATAAAAAACCACATGGCTAGTCGACTGGAACCCTTAACGATGCACTGCACCATTTTGTTGCGAGTCTCATTTACAGACGTTCAATAGTACTAATTCCCACCTTTGTCTTGGAGTTCCTTGGCTTGTAGCCTTTCCTGACCCATTAACAGCTGAAAATGGAAATCCCTCCCTTTAGAGGGACGGGTTATCCAAATACCCGTGATCCGTGTCCCTTCTCCCCCCTCTCCAGGTTGCCAGAGTTCTATTGAACTTCTCAAGGAATTGAGCATGAAGTGCATATCCTGCCTTCTAGTCATAATAGTGGGACCTGAGGTGCTGTATCTGGTGCCGTGCCCTGTCGTCCACCTCTAATCCACACTGGCGCAGAAGTGTTGCCACCATTAGATCACCCGGACCCTTTTGAATGCGGCCGGCGATCGCCTTTCTAATTTCTCCCACACCTTTGAAGCTTAATAGCTTTAAAACCATGCAAGTTGTAAAAACAATCATAGCAGGAATATTAAAAACAACAAGCAGAATGGGAACCTTCAAAAGAATGCGAACTCTAGCACTCTGCTGGCGACGCGAGGGCCCCCGTAACTCAGTCATCTGAAGGCCAGCTCTGAGAAAACGCAGAAGTATCCTGCGAATTTGTTGATGCCAGCTCAGACAGACTGTTTATTTTCGTGATTTCATGGAAGAATTTTAATTTAATGAGTGTTTTATACACGAATGCAAAGCATAGTTTCAGCCCTATAATTATTGTGTCAAAATATTTCTGCTTAAGCGGCAGCAGCTGACTGCAGAGATGTGATTTACATCTGAATTGTATCAGGGGACGCAGCTAAAAGTAATCAGCATATGCTTCTTAATTGAATAAAAAAATTAACAAAGAATAGCATGGCCTTTACAGGCTCCCTGCCGCCGCCTCCCCCAAGTGCCTTTCGATGAAACTTTACACTTATTTAGTACAGAGCCCTTAGGACTAAAACTTTCAAAAGGTTAAGCAGTCGCAAGGGTGTACCAATTTGCCGCCTGTG